GCATCCCTGTCATAATCTGTTAGTAAGCAGCCTTCATAATGTTGGTGCTGCAAACACCAACAAGTTAACAGCTAAGAGCACTCCAATTCAAATGCAGCGTTCCAGTTCCAACACAGAGGGTGTGTTTGGGATGTAATGAAAGAACTAAAGTGAGAAGGAGTTGATGAGAGACCCATGAGAGTCAGAGGCTTCCTGTACTTTAGAAAGGTGAGATAATGACAAAGTAAAACATTAACATTTGCTGTTTGGCTCAGTACCCATAGCTCAGTGGTTAGGGCCCTGGCCACTCATACCAAGGCTGGTGGGTTCAAGCTCAGCCAGGGACTGCTAAAACAACAATGACAACAACAACCAAAGAATAGCCAGGCATTATGATGGGCACCTAGTAGTCCTAGCTACTTGGGAGGCTGAGGCAAGAGAATTGCTTGAGCTCAAGAGTTTGAGGTTACTGTGAGCTGTGGTGCCACAGCACTATACCAAAGTGTGATATAGTGAGGCTCTGTCTCAAAAAATATATATAAATAAATAAAAATAAAATTTGCTGTTAATAGTGACCAATTTTCATGTCTCTGTCCCACTGAGACTATTTAAACCATCACCCCTTATAATAAAAAAAAAAGTAGTTAAATATAAGCCTACCTGTAAGAAAGGTGAAGGTTATCCAGTCATAAAATTAATGAGTTATTATATGTATATATGTAAGTATATAATTAAAAGTCAAGGTCTAAAATTACCATATTTTTACCTCACAAACCAACATCACATTTCTATGCACTGGTTTCTGTAATTGAATAGATTATCTGCAGAACATGACCAGGGCAATCAGTATCATGAAAATCTTTGATTTTAGAAAGGCAATGACCCCATCGCCACTAAAAATAGAAGAGCTAGCTTGGGCATAGTGATGGGCACCTATAGTGCCAGCTACTTGGGAGGATGAGGCAAGAGTTTACTCAAGCCTAAGAGTTTGAGGTTGTTGTGATTTATGATGGTGTCACAGAACTCTACTCAGGGTGACAGAGTGAGACTCTGTCTCAAAAAAAAGAAAAGAAAAGAAAACACAAACAAAAAAAAAGAAAAAGAAAAAGGAACCAAAAGAAGATAGAACTGGGAAAACATTTGACTGATCACTTGTCAATTAGAGGATGGGAAGGATGGCCTCCCACAATTTTTCTTATTGACTAAACAACTTTCCCTTCATTTAAAGTGTTCTGCAATTTAAGAAGACCAGAATTTTATAGAGAAAGGATATTAAAAACAAATCCACTTGATCTCAGGTTTTTGACAGTGAGCTGGAGCCCTGACATTGGGAAATGCTGTGGTGGTGGAAATGGCAGTCTCCAGAGTGTCTACCCTGCACCTGCTGATGTTGGGGTATTAGAAGCATCAGGCCTCATGTGTTCCCACCTGCTATGATAGTACCAACTGTTACATTGAGGAACCATGAGTTATACACTCAAAATTGCCCAGTGCACACAGGTGTTAACTGAAAATCCCTCGTGTCTGTGGTTCCCAGTCGGCGCCATTTTCCATTTTCAGGGTTATTTAATTTTGTTTGTTATTCTTATGCCCTTGCACTATCAACTGGAGAGAGAAGGAATACAAGGTTTTGTTTTGTCTGAAAATTTCCCTAAAATTCCTTCATGCCAATGCTCCCAGAATCCACTACTCTTACATTTCTCTTATTGTTTACTTCTTAAGGATCGTTCTCTCACAAAACTTTTTCCTGCTTTTTACACATGTAGACTCCTCTGTCTTGCCCTGGCTGTGACCCCAGTTCAGGACTTGCTTTTCTGCTCTGCTCAGTGACCCTCCATCCTGGCCACAGCTCTATACATCTGTAAATGTTGGGCTCCGTGCTGCTGAACAGTGGGTCAGTATTTCCCACTTGACAATTTCCCTTTTTTCTCCAGTCTCAAGAAAACGCCACAGCAAACTCGATGACAGTGATGGTACTGAGTGTATCGGAGCCATTTAAATATAAGATATATAAGTCCCCAAAAAGGACTCCCAAAGAAGTGTTTCATGCTACAGTGGCTACAGAGAAAAAGTTCTTTCATGTGAAAGTTTTGAACATCACCTTGAGAAGCAAGTTCACCAGAAACAAAATCATTACTATATCAGATTATGTGCAAGATAAAGGTCTCCTAGAAGTAAATGAAAACTCTAGTGTAAATGATGCTGGTTCTGACCAAATGATTGTGGTTCCAGACATCATCAAAAATATAGCAGTGGAGCCCTTGAGGATTTATATTATTGAAATGCTAACTTCTGGAACAATTATAAATGGATCATATACACTACATAGGGTAAGTCCTCAAAACTGTTTTATTTCATTTCTCCACCAATCGCTGAAACCAGAAGGCTTTTGTGGTGCTAAAGGGAGTTTTGCCCATTCACTCAACATTAAAACACAAGACTCTCTCAAGACTAACGATAAGTAGGAAAAATCTTTTCTCAGGATTAAACTGGGAATTACCCAGAACCTAATAATATCTTCACTGTCATGTTTTCCTTTTCAAAATATTACGCTGAACTTATTAGGAAAATGTTTACTGAGAAATCTTGACCCTTCATCAGCTATGATTACATGGTCTAAGGAATATTGATTAGGAATAAGGTAGGATCTGGATTTATATACACATTCTACTAAGTTTATTTTGAAATTTTTTTCTTACTTTCAGGTTAATATGAGGGTATGTATGACTAGGTTACATTATTTTCATTTGTATGATAAAGTCCTAATCAGAAAATAGTAGATCAACAACTACAGGTCGACATGAGAGAAAAGTACCCTTAAATTCAAGAAGCAGGGAGATAAGCTCCCACCTACTGGATATGATATAGGGGTACTACTTTTATTTTTATTACCTCCACTTAGCAATAATCAGTATATTTTTATTTGGGATGAAGTATCTCCCTTTGAGGTTTGAGTCCCAATGTGTTTAGTCAAAGAGTAAGAAATGAGTAGATTGATCATTCCCAGAAAATGAAGGCAGGCAACAGTTAAGATCACATTCTAACCAAATGAGACTCATGCATCAGAAAGGTATTGAACACCTCAGAAGGAGGGATTTAGGTAACACTTAGAAAGTCATGTGATCCAAACTCGTCATTTAGATATGTCAGCAAAACAATGAGCAGAGAGTGGTAACTGATATGGTAGAGTCCAAATTCATGAACCTGGTTGTCATAGGTCATGCAAACCCAAGGAACCGTCTAGAGCCTGCTATTTATTCAAGCAGATCTCATATAATCAACAGCTCACAGCACAGTGTTTTTGTTTTCCCAACTAACCCCTCATTTTACCTGCATTATTCTGGGCATACACTTTTAAAGTGATCATTATTATGAGCACAGTTCTAGAATTAATGAGTAAAACATGCAGCTGTAGTGAGCCAGAAACTGAAAGTTTGAACTTAAGGTCCTGAGCTCAGGACGGGGATGAAGTCCTCGTAAATAGTTTTTATTGCACATCCCGCATAATATATTGAATAAATACTTGTAGCAAAAGATCATCCATTTTGCACAGGGCCAAAGGCAAAAAAAGCCTACCAAGCATTACAGTGGAAAGCTCAGGAGGTGCTCATCGTGTGTGGTGGAGGTGCAATTTCTCCAGACAAAAATTAGTATATGAGGCTATAGAATTTATTTTATATTCTTAGAAAGAGAAAGTGAAAGAGAATAGGGATGTGGGAGAAAAGATAGCAAGGAGATGGTGGCATGGCATCCCAAGGAATGAAAAGGGAAAAGCCAACAGCCAAGACCCTGGGCTAGCTGATATTAAGGGGGCTGTAAATTGGTGGAGGTACAGTCTAAAATCGGCTGCACCTGCCCCTTTCCTCCTTCTTGGCAGCAGGCAGATAACAACTGAAGCTGGGTAAGGTGTCAAAGCGCAAAAGCTTGCCTCGCACCTTTCTTTGAAGGCAGGATTCATGTGGGACATAGAACTCAGCCCTGCAGAGAACACTGAAGCCTGTTCTACTGATGTTTACTCAGGATCTCTGTAAAGCAGATTCTCAAACAAATGATTTTGAGGAGAAAGATTTACCCCACTGTTCTGTCTGTTCAGCTCTTTCCAAAAGTTGTTTAAAGCAGGATTCAAGTCAATTTACAGGACTGATCATTAATTTTTAGTAGGAAATTGCAGGATTAGGAAGATTAGGTATTTTCCGGTTACTTTTGCAAATTTTTGCAATTTTTGAATCCCTTTCATCAAGGATTTCAGATTGCCCCATGTAAAGGTGCTTTGGAATTCATAGCTTACCTGGAGGTGGAATGCAGTAGAAATTAAGAAGATAATCCACTATTCTATACACATAAGTACTGGAGAAATACATAGGACCAAAAAGATTTAAAAAGGATAATAAGGAAGAGCTCATTGAGAAAACCAAGCCTAAGGCCCACGTGTGTCTACACAGTTCTAACCCATCACAGGGACTTCCTCATCTGTGAGGTAGATATTAGACATGTTCTCAGGAACTGGATATTAATTTTCTGTTGTAGAAATCACTAGAAGAACAGACAACAATCTATGAAGTTGAAGATGACACGGGAAGCATCATTGAAGTGGTGGGGGAAGGACAATGTCATGATTTCCCCTGCGAAGAAGGAGATACACTTCAATTCTTCTTCTTTCAAGTGCAAAACAAAAAAAAAGACAGAACCAAACTGAAGAGTAGCACGCATAGTTTCATCCAGGTGAGACTTGAATAGACAAAGTATTTGTTTTTCAAAAGGAAAATTATTTGGTTTATGCTTTGCAAGGACCAGATTTCGCCTTCTTTCGCACATAGATTCAAGTTAAGACACGAGAGAACAGAGAATGCCCTTGCACTCAGATTTCAGTAGAGAAACTTCTTAAAATGTACTGAGACAAGGGCAGTCATTATTGGCTTCAACAGGATTTGAAACGTGGGAAATGCTAAAACACTTGAAATTGGGACAATGTGGCACTAATCTCACATAGTGGTCACAAGCAAGGGATTTGGAGTGGATGGACTTGGTCTGCACGGGCTCATTTGTTCCATGACACTGGGGAAGTGTCTTTAATGTTCCTCATCAGCTGATCTGCCAATTAAGGGGCTAGGAGCCATGTATTTCATAGTTCAGGGCCCCACACATTCTAAGAAATTAGCATGCAGTAGGTACTATTTATTGTTCTAAGCAAAATAAAGACAGGCATAAGAAAGTCTTCTAGGCAGACAAAATAGTACATACCCAAAATTAAGATTGTGAAATGGCACGTGATTTCAGGACAGCTGTAATATGTGTTGAAAGGTGCAGGAAACTAATGGTAGATAAAAAAACAGCCTCTACTGAGGTGTCTTTTGGCATAAAGCAAGAAATTGAGTCTTCACTGTAAAAAAAAAAAAGAGTGAGTAAATATTAAACATTTTATGCACAAGAATTCCTAATTATTTTATAAATTAACAAAAAATATTTTGGCAGTTGTCTGCAGCAATCTATTAGGGCCTCTGACCCACGCTGCAGTGGTCACCACTATCCCACAGGTGCTAGCTGAAGGTCACCACTATCCCACAGGTGCTAGCTGAAGGTCACCACTATCCCACAGGTGCTAGCTGAAGGTCACCACTATCCCACAGGTGCTAGCTGAAGACAGGCTACTGTAGGAGACGCCAACATCCGAGCAAGATGATCTGCAGCTGAGGCGTGGACTTGGGGCCATTCCTCCACAGGAGTTCCTTGTGGGAGGAACCTGTGCCCTCAGCACGTAGTCATTGTTAATTACTCCCCATAAAAGGCTGGTGCGGAGGTTGCTCGGGGCTACCCGGAAAGTAAGGGCTAGCCCGCCTTCCACAACCTTGTACTTCTAATCCGCTTCTCGCCTGGTTCCTTCCTGCACTAACCGAGACCAGGGCCACAGGAGCCGGACGGGTTGCTACAAGCTACCTATACACACTAGACCCCCTATAGGGGGTTTACAGTTTGTGGTAGGTTTTTGGGTTTTTGTGTTTATTGCTGTTAGTAGGTCCAAAAAGTCCTATTTCCTCAAAAAAAAAATCCACATATGGGTCAAAAATCCACATTGAGGATCAAGTAGCAGCTTCTGCTTTTTAGCCATCTTGGTTTAGGTGACCCTGGATGGGATTCATCCCTCGTCATTACCAGCTCAGACCCATCTTTCTCTGATACTTCAGAAACATAAGTGGACATCCCCAGGCAACAACCTGGGAAGGAATTTATTTCACCTACATTCTGGCTACATTCTCCTAACCCCTTAATTGTCAGATCAGCTGATGAGGAACATTAAAGACACTTCCCCAGTGTCATGCAACAAATGAGCCATGTGCAGATCAAGTCCATCCCACTCCAAATCCCCTATATGGAGTTTTCCTAAGTCCCATCTTTCTATGTAGGTGAGACAACTGTTTCTACAGCCATAAGAGTCTCCTACATGTAACCACCCCATACATTCATTTCTTCATTGATGTACTCACCTCCACAGACAGAGAATATGTCTGATCACTTCCTCTATGATTCACTAGCTCTGAAAGAAGTCCTTGCTCATATACATCATGGGTGATGCCAAAGATACTGTTTGTAATATGATTTCCATAAGCCCTCTGATTGAAAACCAAAAGAAGGCTGTTCTCTCTCTTTTTTCTTTTTCATCTTTTGTCATAACTCCCCTAAAGCAAACAGCACAGAATGGTCAGGAAACCAGAGATATTGCTAGTTTAAAATTACTATACACGGGGAAAAGGGAGGCACTATTTTTATTCCTATTTGCCACATCCTTACCTGGGGACCCCACAGATAGTCAACATGAGTTACAAAACATCTGTAAACTTGTACAAGCCTTGCATAGACTGTGAAATAACAATTCTAACAATGACACTTCTGCTAATTGGATATCTGGGTCTGGTAGAAGTAAAAGTTGTGTTTTCATGTACGTTATTCCATTTATTCTTGAATATACCCCTATGAACACAGTAGAAAAAATCATGTTCCAGGAAACAAAACATGTCTTCCTTTTTAGACAAGTTCAGTTAGAGGGGTTTCCATAGGAAATTATGAATATCCATGTGATATATAGATATTGAACTTGAAAGACAATTTAGGCCGGGTCTTGACTGAATTACATCACTATAGACATAGTTGTTAAAGTAGTAGCTGTGGCTAGTACTATCTGAAGAAAATAGTGATATTAATGACATTGATGTCACTTATTCATTGAGTACTCAGGATATCTAAGCTTCTTCTAAGGGGTTTTCAATTATAATTTTAAGTAAGCCTTGTAAAAATCCAATTGTTTTATATCTTAACTAATTTAATTAGTTTAGTTTAATTCTTTATAACACACAGTGATCAGGAAAGGGAATTTAATTTGAGGGCAGTCAGCAGAGCTCCTATCACACCTAAATAATCGAGGGTGCCCCTGCATGAATCAGAACCTGCCTTAGTGAGAGACATACACTACAGCAGACAGGGGTGGTTGGGGCTCCATGACAGAGTCCACAGACTGTGTTACAATGACAGACACATTTCTGTGGGATTCCTGGGACACTAACAAAGCCTACTACTGGAACGCAAAGTGCTTAGAAGCAAGGCTGATGCATCCTGGCACACAGTCATATATGGGCTCTCAGATGGCTTTACTGCAGGGGCCATAAGTCAAACATCACAAGTATTTCTTGACCAGGAATACCTTTTATACCCTCCTCTCACCTTTCTACCCAAGGAGAACCTTCCCCTCCACTCCTTGCATTGGGTACCCCAGCTCCTTCCTCTTTGCTAAGTTTCTCCGACTTCTCCTACTTTCCCCCTGTGCTCACCCTGTGTAGTACTGTGTACCCATTTCATGGTCCCAACCAAGGGTAGGGGAGAGACATAACTCAAAGGGCAGGAACTCATCCAAGGAGGTAGGTGGGAGTGAGAAGAGAGTTCTTTAGATAGGAATAGAGGAGGAGCAGTGGCTGATTGGGAGGAGACATGTGAGTGAAGGAAGAAATGAATGACCATCTGCCTTTTCACTGATTTATCTTTTGTCTTTTTCTTCTTGAAGCACATCTAGGACAAGAAAAGAAGGAAAGGGCAGCACCTATGGCTCAAAAGGATAGGGCGCCGGTCCCATATGCCAGAGGTGGTAGGTTCAAACCCAGCCCTGGCCAATAAAGAAAAGAAAAGAAATGAAAAGAAAGAAAGAAACACTCAATCCAGATGGAGATATGGAAACTTCACTAGAGCCTGCCTTCTAGACTCTTTTTAAAAATTTTATTAGCATTAATTTTTAAATTAATTTACATTTGTTAATCCATTCGTGGGTCGATGGGCACTTGGGCTGCTTCCATGACTTGGCAGTTATGAATTGGGCTGCAATAAACATTCTTATGCAAATGTATTTGTTGTAAAGTGATTTTTGGTCATCTGTATATATACATAGTAGAGAAATTGCAGGATCGAATGGCAGGTCTACTTTTAGTTCCTTAAGTGTTCTCCAAACTTCTTTCCAGAAGGTACGTATTAGTTTGCATTCTTACCAACACTACAGAAGTGTTCCCTTCCCTCCACATCCATGCCAACATCTGAAGTTTTGGGATTTTGTTATGTGGGCTAATCATACTGGAATTAGATGGTATCTCAAAGTGGCTTTGATTTGCATTTCTCTGATGATTAAAGATTATGAACATTTTTTTCATGTGTCTGCAGGCCATCTGCTTATCTTCTGCAGAGAAGCTTCTGTTCAAATCTCTTGCCCACAATGAAATGGGATCACTTGTTCCATTTTTAATAATAAGTTTGAGTTCTCTATGAATTCTGGTTATCAAACCTTTATTAGAAACATAACCTGCAACTATCCTCTCCCATTCTGAGGGCTATCTGCTTGCTTTACTTACTGTGTTCTTGGCTGTACAGAAGCTTTTTAGTTTGATCATATCCCAGTAAAGTAATTTTGGTGTTGCTTCAATTGCCTGGGTGATTCTCCTCTTAAGGTATTCTTCCAAGCTAATTTCTACAAGTGTTTCCCCTCCACTGTCTCCAAGAATCTTTACAGTTTCATGTCTTTAGTTTAAATCTTTTATCCAGTCAGAGTCAATTTTTGTTAATGGTGAAAGGTGTGGGTCCGGTTTAATTCTTCTACAAGTTGCCAGCCAGTTCACCCAGCACCATTTGTTAAATATGGAATCTTTCTCCTAATTTATGTTTTTGATACCATGGAATATTATGCAGCCATAAAGAAGACAGAAACTTTACCTCTTTTATGTTTATATGAATGGAGCTGGATCATATTCTTCGTAGTAGAGTATCTCAAGAATGGGGAAAAAATGCCCAATGTACTCAATACTATTATTAAATCGATATATAATCACCCACACTTTCATATGAAAAATAAGACACAATTATAGCCCAGAAAGGAGAAAGAAGGAGGGCAAGGGGAGGGAAGGTAGGGACAGTGGATGGAGACTGCTGGTGGGACCTTACCTACTGTGCATATTGCAAGTGTACATGTCAAATATATTAATAATAGAGTATATGTGTCTAAACACAACAATTAAATAAGTCAGGCAAATTATATGTTAACCAATTTGATATAAACATTCCAAATTGTACATAAAATCAGCATATTGTACCCCATAAATGCAGTAATGTACAGTTATGATCTAATAAAAAATTTAAAATATAACATATAATGTAAAAAAATACATTAATTAATTCACATTAATTTTTATAAATTTGATAGAAAAAAACCCTACTTTTTCAAAAAGAGTTCTTCCCTGGCAATCTCTTTAACCCATTTGTTGAGTTACTTAAAAGCAAATAGTGTGTGGCTTGAAAATCAAAGTAGAACACAAAGGGCCTCATTTCTAGACTTCATTCTTTGGGTGTGATTTCACCAGGTGAGGCCCCGGTCAAGCATGAATAAACTGCGTCCTGCCCACAGAAGCCAGGCTTGGCAGCCGGTTGGAGTGAAAATAGCCTATACTTCAATTGTCAAGCTCTGTGGTCTGCAGAGACATTGCTCTAGCCCAAAGCTGGGGATATCTTTTCAGAATTGGTTTCCTAAAGAGGCATAACCAGGATTTAGTCTGCCAAGTAGGACACTTTCTGGTGATTCACATAAAGGTACTTGTATTTCAGAAGAATATTTCACCCTGTGAAATACCTGGCTTCATTCATTTGTTCCATACTGCAGCTCCTCAAACAAATCTCAAATCTTATTTCCTGGTTCTCACATTCCACATGTAAGGAAACGCTTAGACAAACCAGAGAATAATTTCTTTAGAGTAGAGTGGAAAAAAAGATCTCAAAACTGAAGCTTATAACATATTTATTGATCACATATTTGGCACTTGGTATTTTGTAGTTATTTTGTGTTGTTTAATCTTTGAAATAGCATCAGAGAGTTGGTCATTTTCTCCTTTTTATTTGCCTTATCTAAGGTATACAAAGGGGAACAGAAAGATAAATTCACTTTCCTGGTGACACTTAGGTGGTCAATTATAGTCTCAAATTAGAATCTAAGCCTGTTATTCTGGTTTGGAGTAGACGTCCTAATGTTTGGGACCAGATGTGAGGTGAAAACTAAACAAATGAATAAGACATGATTTTACCCCAGATGGAGAAAGCTGAAGAGACCCTCACTCTCACTCCTGTAATAATAAAGTGACATAATATGCCAAGTCACAACCTTATAAACCCGGATTCTCTAGTGGTCTGAAGCTATCTATGACCAATTATTCCAAGGAAAAAAGGCATTTCAGTTCTGCTGTTACTGTTTGGGGCCAACTATCCAAAGAATAAGAGTGGTTGTTTCCCCTACACTGCTCTTTTCTGATGCGTTTTTTATGAGAAGCCATGGTAGATATATATCCCAGGGCTGAGATCTTGTAGACTTTTTTTGTTTGTTGTCAATGAAAGAAGTTTAAAAGCTACAAATTCGGTTTCTTCCTCCATTGTGGGAGGTAGACAGGTTGACTTCTCCGCAGTGTACCCCATCTCAATCATGGGGAAACCAAGGAAAATGCCTGCAGATGGCAATTCCTGGGGGTTCTTCAGAATCACAAGAGAGGAAAAGAATCTAGAGGTGCCCCACCCCTGGTCAGGACCAACTAGGCCCATGCATTTGAGAGTCAACAGAGAGGAGAGATTAAACTCTTCAAATATGTAGTTAAAATATTAAACCTGGTTTACTTCCCCTACCTGAAAAGAACTGGCTGCTCCCTCCCCATCTATTTACAGACACTGTTGGCTGTTTACCAACCCCCAGGCCGCTTACCCTGGCTTTGTCGCTATCCAGTCCTCCTGGGAACTGGGGATTCTTTCAACCCTCTCTTTTGCAAATGCACCTTTGTTAAAAACTAACAAAAAACCTTCTGAAGAAGCCAGGAAGGGGCTGCAGTTACCTTGGTCTACCCAGCCGGAGTTATTGCTTCCGCTTCTGTAAAAGCTGGAGCCTGCTTCTGCAGCTTGATTCAAAGTGACCAATGACGAAGGTACCCAGGGGCTGGAACTTTTTGACCGGAGATAAAAAGGAGAAGACTGAGCCCCTCCGGGCGCATGGTCATTTGGGGTCTCTGGGTCTGCTCGGGCTGAGCCGGCTGAAATAAAACCAGCCCTTCCTCTTTTAAACACCGTGTTCGCGTGTTCTTTCTCCCCATTGGGCCTCGTCTTCCCGCATCACCACTTGTGAGACTGCCAGATGAGAAGTTTCTAGTATTGAATTCCTTTCAACTATTGACATTTTAAGGAAAAAATAGTTATTTGTGTATTTTATTTCTTTGTACAAATTTATGGGATGCAATGATAGCTTTGTCATGTGGACACGTTGCATAGCAGTGAAGTCAGGGCTTTTATTATATCTGTCACTTAAATAATACATATTTTACCCAGCAAGTAATTTCTCATCCTCCACTGCCCACTCTCCCCCTCCCCCTGTTATTCTGATAAAATTACGGGAAGGAAGCTGCTCGTTTGCTCTGACTCACTGAGCAGAAACGAAAGCTAAGCAAGTTGATGGGAGGAGTCTCGGCAGGGCTTCCTAACTGCTCTCTCCCTGGGGCCCTCGCACGCGGTGAGACAGCTAGCACTCCTCCGTTATCAGGTGCCTTTATTCAGGGTCTTTTCTCTTCGTTACGTTTGTAAAAACTTCTTTTGGGGAGCACTTGAGAAGATTATAACATCCTGCAGCTCAGCTTCTGAGCGCTTTCCTGATTTTCTACTCAAAACACACATTGCTTCTTGCATTTCTGAAGATCTCAAGATCTGGACTACGTCGGAGAAATTTCCGGGAAGGTGAGTCCAGGGGTTTCCTTTAGGTAACTAGGAAGGAATCAGTATTGGGGCTTCCTGGTGGGGGGAGGGGGGCCCGAGGGGCAGGGCTGCCATGAGCGGCGTTCAGGAAAGCGAAACCTGCCCTTGCTAGATTCCAATCCTTCAGTTCCTCGGAAGGATAATAAACGTTTTGTGTTTTTTTAAATTTCGTCACAACTGAGGTCTGAAAAAGCGGAAATGCATTTGAAACACAGAGACAGGAAAGGGTCCCCGCAAGCTTTAATGGCCAAAAAGACAGCGAATTTGGAGAACAGCGAGAGTTAAGTCTCTCAGATCAACTCTGCTTTGGTTACAGCAGTTTTTTATAGAAAGTTACAAAGAAAAAGGTATCTAGAGAATTATAAATTAATCCAAAACTTAATCTACAGCAACATCAGAGTAACATTTACTCTAACAAGGAAACACCGGCTTTTCCCTCCCGTGTTGATGCCCCCTCGGACTGTTTTCTCAAGGGGGCTGGTAGTTGGCGGGAGCAAGGAAAAGGAATGTGGCTTAAGCAAGGTGAGGGTGGGGGTCACAAGTAGTCTTCTGATTTTAAATACTCCTAGTTTGTAAATGATCCAGAAATAACGATAAAAATAACAAACAGTAAGGGTGTACTTTGGGGAATCACTTTCATTTCCTGAGACATTTCTCTTTGGTTTAGGAAATCAGTATGTTTACTTTCTTTATCCTCAAGTATCTAAAAGAGAAATTTAGTACATTTTTACCCATGATTTTATGGTTACAATGATTTTATGTTTACTATGATCAAAATATGAAAATAAATAAATACCACTTGCCAGGAGGCTAACAAAAACTTTAGCCTCAAACCAACCCCATTTTCCTATTTCTCTTCACTAACATCCCCCACTTTTACTGCTAATTTCGTATCTATGAAATGGACTCATGGATTTCAATGGAAATCATGACTATTATTCATTGCATTAACCTTAGGATTAAATCTCCTAAAACTAAACCAAGCAGCACAATTAGTGATTCATCAAGGGACACATTGAATGCAGCAGCAAACAATCCAGGAAGAATAAGGGAACTGGCAGCAGCAATTAAGGCTCAAAGCCACCCTGTATTGGGAAGCCAAGAAAACAGTCAGTTCAAGATCTGCTCCGAAGAATCCTTCTCTCTGTTTGATACCATGAATCTCTCTTTCAAAAACCTCTTTTAACTTATTTTCAATGAATTGGTAGTTATTAGACAGGCTAAAGCAGCACATTCCTTTGAAATCATCATAGGTATGGTTATGTCTGAGGAATAAATAATTTATCACAGCCCAGTCTTCTAGGACCCCCTCCCTGATTTGCCCCTACTCCATACCCGGGGAACCTAGGGCCTGAGAGGTAGCATTTAATGCCTAGGCCTTAGAGCACACCAAATGACCAATTGCTGCACTGTTGAGACCAACGACCCTGGCCCCTGGCCGGCATGATAAACTCAGATGAGGCAGTGTACTCAGCAGGACAGAGGAGTGCAGGTCACTACAGCAGTGACCTGATAATTGAGTTCTCTGGCAACTCAAGTGAGGTTAGACTGGAAGTCCTATACACGAGGCAAAAATAGAGTTAATCTTCCCAGAGCACGAGGTCCTCTGGCGGCATTTCCTGGCACATAAGAGAAGGCCTGTCTCCCTCATAACGAAACCATCCTTGGGGCAGCTCCATGTGCCTGTCGGCATAAGAGACTGTTGTGCTTTTACTGCAATTAAGAAGGAAATTGAGTCATCCAAGACCTTGTCTCTACTAAAAATAGAAAACCAGCCGGACTTTATGGCAGGTACTGTAGTCTCAGCTACTGGGGAAGCTGAAGCCAGAGGATCTCTTGAACCCAAGAGTTTGAGGTGGTTTGTGAGCTATAATGATGCCACGGCACTCTACTCAGGGCAACAGCGTGAGACTCTGTCTCAAAGGGGGGGAAAAAGAGGAAGTTGGTAAGGTTCAAACAAGAAGACGGGCATCCTGAAAACTTAACACACTCTTCACTCGGGTGACTGTTTTGATCTAAATGAAAAATATGTCCCTGTTTTTTCTCTCTCCAGATGGGGCCCTAACCAGTAGACGGATATCTGCTAGCTCTCTGTCTCTTGGATATCCCCATAGCTCATGGATAGCTCATGGTCTTTTGGGTGTTGACAAAAGAGTGACATAGCTAGTCAATTCTATAAGGGTACAGATTCCAGTTGAATATGAGGTAAACACCTGTTCAACGTAAGTTCCTCTGCAAGGTGGAAGTCAGACACATTCATTACATTTTGAGCAAGATTAAGTCTACATGTTTTCATTTCTCTAAAAAGGAATGATATCTTGGGAAAGTCCAAAAGTTAAACAGAGTACAAAGGAGACGAAGGTGCTTCCAAACTTCTTATCTTTGATCTTAGTTTCTCCATCAGCTGAGGCCAGCCATGTGTCTGGTCACTCCCCAGGGTAAACTTTGGTCGTGGTGTGCTGAGTCCATGCCTTCAGTTCAGCCACCTGTCCTGCAGTGGGAGTGGTGAGCAGAATGTGTCTGGGCCCACTTTTCTTCCACTTGTTCCCCAGGTCCATACCTCTAGGTTTTCAGGAGGACCTTATCTCTAGGCTGAAAAGAGTATATGTTACCTAAGGGAGAAGGTGAAGATCTGGGGAGGGAAAACTGATAAATTGGAGGCAAAACTCGTTGGATATATGCTGTACACATTTTGAACTTTGAAATCATGTCCAACCCAGTCCATGGTACCCAGGGGGTACCTGGACTGAGGCAGTCTGGAAGGGTCTTCCATAGCCTGTTTCGTAGGAACTTAGCTTAGTTCTGCTTCTGTGGGCTACGAATCTGCAAAACCTGGTTCCGGTATAGATGGGTCTCCTGGCATAGTTTGGCAACATGTTTCTTCAAAGTTTAGTTCATCTTTTCAGATTTGTCTGACAATTGAGGTCTCCAGGCTATGTGCAGTTTCCACTGGGTTCTCCCAAATTTGCTTACTCTTTGTGTTATTTTAGCCACAAGTGACAGACCATTATTACTCTGTAGATTCTTTGAAAGCCCATAATGAGATAAGGGGTGAATAATTTCTTTTAGCAAAAATTTTACTATGTCTGGGGCCTTTTCAGTTTGGATGTGGAAAGACTCTACCCACTTTGAAAGTGTCCACAAGTATGAGAAGTAAATACAGCCCAGGGATCAAGGCCATCTGGGTAATATCCACTTGGTAGCCCTCAAATGGTCCCATTCCTTGATGTTGTCACAGGAGTCCCTTATTCTTGTTTTCAGGCCTGGGGTTGTTCTGTAGGCAGTTAAATGTTGAGAAGTCACTTCTTTAATTGTTTGGGTAGGTTCCTTCCTATTAGCCAGGATCAGACAAAGCCTCTTTTCCATAATGAGTCATTTCATGTCATTGCCTGATAAATTGGGAGGCCAAAGCCTGAGGCAGTAGCATCATCCCTGATCATCTAATAGCCAACTAGCATCTTACTTTTGAAACTTTTCCTTCTTAGCCCACTCCATTTGTGCCTTGTCATATGCTGGTTGAAAATCTGCCAAGAGCACTGGTGGCATTTGTCAATTGTAACCTTGCTGCTTGTCAAGTCCATGCCCTTTTGATATCCCTGGTAGTGCATAACTTCCACCTTGCAAGGGAACAAGAGTGCTTCTAAAAGGCGGAGGACCTCTTGATCCTGCTTAATTTCTCTCCTTTCTATTGTCAGCTGACCTCATTCCCTCCAGATGGCCCCAGGTGTATGTAAAATTATATAGGGTTTAATTGGGTTTGTATAAGTGTTAGCAACATTACCATCTGAAAGTTCCAAGGCTCTGGTGAGCGCAGTCAACTCGGCCATTTGTGCTGAGGTTCCCGGAGGAAGAGCCCTTCCCTAGTGACCTCTGCACGTCCTGCCCTCTGAGTTCCATTTTCCGCATAACTATTTCCATCCACAAACAAGGTCCAAAAAGGTCAGGCTGTCTGGAAAACACTTCTTCAATAATTTCAAGACATAGATGTTCTAAGGGTTCCTGACTAGGAACCTGACAGCTTTCCAGGCAGTGAGAAAGGAATTAGCAAGGTCATGAAGCACACAAATACAAGGTCTGCTGTTTCCATAGCATCAGTTATAATGAATACAAAAGTATAAGAAGTAAAGAAGATGTGGGTATTCAAGGTCTTCTGAGTCATTTTAGGAGTAAGAAATTTTTTGAAATGAAAATGGGGAAATCACAAAGAATGTCAGTGAAATAAAAATGTGGCTTAATGAGAGAAAACTTATACAAAGCCTAAAGAAATCAAGCAGCTAATGAGATAATTTCAGCTAATAAATTCTGCAACCCTGCACCATAGATTGCAGAGATGTTCATCAAAGTGGTGGTATTAAGGACGCAGAGGACATGGTCAGCACCACGGCAGACAGTATGTGAAGGAGAGTCACCTAGGAAAGAGATAAGGGGAATTGGATTGGGACTCCAGCTCAGGACTCAGAATGGTATTAGTTTAAGGTAGGCAGCTGCAGACCATTTACCTTTAAACCAGTTTAATGACAGTGGGAGTAGGAAGAAATAGGAACCAACAGGCAGGCACTGGGAGAAGCTCCAGCCCCGCTATAGGATGAGACAAGGAACAGAAACTCTGGTGCTGGGTAGAGTTTCAAAACCCCATCACGATGGCCCATTTCCATGCCTCCTTCCACCACACACACTTGGACCCAACTCAGCTATCCTCATAAAACAGGATGAATTTCATCGACGTTCCTAATATAGCAGCTCTCAACCTCTCCACAGTGACATATTGGGTCATTAATTCCCCTTTTGTCACACACATCCAAGGAGAAAACACTGGCTCCTCAGGTAGGCACAGTCATTTAAATTGTGTATGTGTGTAATACTGTATGCCTTTTTTCTCTTGTATGCTCACCTGTGTCTTTAGAGATGGCAAATGAATGCTGGAGGATTATTCTACTTAAAGGACTAGAAGAAATCAATGATGACCAGTTTAAAATGGTCAAGTTCTTACTGACAGATCCATTAAAACTGACTTCAAAAATGCAAGATGAACACGACAAAGTTAAATTTGCTAACTTGATGGTAAGGAAGTTCCCAGAAGATGCTGGTGTGGACAAACTGATAAAATTCTGCAAAGAAATAGCATCACTGCAACCCTTTGTTGAAATTCTTAGAAAAGAAAAGGCAAAAGGTAACAGAACACTCCCTCCCTGCCACTGTCCCCAGCCCTTCTCAACCTTGAGTAGAGCCCCACCTTGCACATCCCTGGCATAATTTATGTCTCAGTGGCCTTGACAGTGTCGTTGCTTTCAGGTGGCTATAGATGAATGACTTAGAGATTTCTAACTCTAAAGCAGTTTGCTGTGTTTTGGAGGGTGTGTTTAGAATGCAACGAGAGGGAGTTGAAGAGAGTCTGAGAGTTCCCATACCTTAGAAAGATGAGACCACAACAAAATAAAATGTTAAAATTTGTTGTTTATATTTGAAATATAAACTTTTAACCAATTAATGTATTTGTCCTACTGAGACTATTTAGTGCATCATTAACCCTCATAATAAAAGAGGCAGTAAAGTTTAAGCCTTCTACTAAGAAAGATGCTCTTCCCTGTCATAAAAATCATTGAGTTACTATGTGTGTGTATGTGGATGTGCGTGTGTGTACACACAATAGAACCTCAATCGTTGACCATCTCTCTACATTGACCACCTCCTTAACTTGACCTACTTTTCATACTCAGAAAGTAAAGTACGTGTACATATCACTACAGTTCCTATGTGGACCAGCTTGTTACAGTTAATTTGATGATAACTTACAGAGGTACT